ACATGGGGCGCACAACGTCGGAGTTGACTGACAGAAGCCCGAGAGCTGAGAGCATTGAGGTGAGTCGTTCCGCACTCAACAGACCACTCAAAGAGCCGCCTCCCGGATCGATCGCCAAGGGGGCTGGGCACCAAGCACGAGAAGAGCAGGTGGTGACCGCGGGAGGGCATGGTGTTGCCCGGGTGTGGCAGAGAGGATGGCAGCCAAGCACAACTCAAGCAATTCAAGCAACGTCCAAGACGGGTGGCCAAGGTCGGGGAAGCGTGGGAAGCATCGCCAGAAGCCGCAAGTCGTACCCTGGGCTCAACCGCTAGAGCCAAAAGAAGGAAAAAAGCAACAAGACCAACGCGTTGGTGGCTGCGAGCTAGCCAACCCGCGTCGCCACTCCGACAAAAAGTCGTTCAATGCAAAAGGGCCCTGCTTTCAGTGGATCTGCCGATAGCAAAGGGACCTTGGGGTCCGAGGATAATGCCTGTCTAGCGCGGTTGTTCCCCCTTCGAGCCTTCGAGGCCAAGACTTTCTCAGTTAATCACCCGAGTTGAATCCCTGCAAGGGCACGCGAGAGTCGAAGAGCTGGAGAAGCGAGTTCCGACTCAACTAACCACTCAGAGACGCGGAACAGAGCGACAATCTGCACTGTTCGGGAAGGACGTCGGAAGAGACGGCAAATGATGCCACCCATGTCATGTTCTGTCGGCAGAGAAGCCAATCATTACGTCGAGTTGGCTTCGAGGCTGCAGGTTAATGACACAAGCACTGACAAGTGAGCATTCTGGACACAAGTGGATGAACAAAAAGTTCCTGAGACCTCCGCAAATGGCCCCTCTGAAAGCGTGACAAACGTCCCTCTGTGCTCCGTAGGCGCGCCCTTCTGGGTTGACAAGGTTGAAGGATGCCTGCCGCTTGAGATCCGAGTTGCTGGAGAGGGTTGGTTCGTCCAACTGCGCTTGGAGACTTTCCTGATAGGTGATCTCCGCCCCACGCGATAGTCCGACGCAAAAGGACCTTGGAAATGCGGTTGTAGTCAGATTTGATTATATCGGTATTCCTGCGTTGGTGATGAAGATGGGAGATGTCATTCATTCAGCACATCCATCGAGGAACAGCGAATCGGCGCAACTGACTCGGTAGCAACCTCGGCATCCTTTCTTACTCAGCTATCTCACCGTCTTTCTCGGTGTAGCACGACGAACAGCGTTTGGGCAAACATGGTGACCAAACATCACACGAAGGAACAAACTTGAGGCAAGCGAAGCTTGACGCCTGGCAAACCACCGCAGCATCGATTACTGATGTCCTTTGCTCCAGTCTACTCGCGACGGATTCTCCAGCGCCTCGGTAGCAGTTTAAGGTTATCGAGAACGACTGGAATTACGGATTCTCGTACGTAAAGTTCCTGTCATTTCCCCAGGTCCCCGCCGGCTGGAAAAGATGGCGTGGCACGGTGGCACGGTGTCACGACTGCCCACGACCACCCTAGGCGGCAACCAAACAATTAGATTGGAATAATTTGTCCTTATTCAAGCATTCATCAATGCCGCCTGGAGATTCCTTCCTCCTTCCTCACAAATCAATACTATATCGCAAATGGTAATGATTTCCACTGCGGCAAACGGACATGGGTTTTGGGCAATCTGCAATTTGGCCACCACCTCGCGTGGTTTCCGGGACATGGGCACGCGAGATGGCGAAAAAGGTTGTGAGAGAGCTCCATCCGTGATACCCGGCCGTCGAACCCTTATTCCAAAATATATCCTGCGGGGTGGGCAGCCAACATGCATTGGTGACATCCCCGAAAAGCATGCGGCCTACCTAGCCTTGTGGAACGCCCTGCAGGAAGTCGGCTCAAGAACCAAAGAAATATGGCATGTCCTGATGATTGCCAGAAAACCGGTCTTTCCCATTGGTCATCTGGCAAGCAGGAGCAAGCAAACCCAGAGATAGGGAATCCCAGCCTGGTAGGTAGGTGGTTGCTCTTCAACCCCAAGCAGCTTTCCGCCAGGCTGGTAAGCTGGGTCTCTCCTGATGGGTCTCCTGATGGAGCCGATGCACTCACTTTGCGGGCGACACCTGGCCTCTCGGTGACTTGTCGTATCAATAGGTACGGTAAACATCCAATGGCATGTTGCGGGGCGTACAAGTGTGTTGGATGTTGGGATAAGAGGGGGCAGTGGCGTTAGTTCGGGTGAACTTGCTCAGACGAATGGCAGCTCAATCGTTATCATATTAGAGCTAGTCTATGACATGTTAGGGTTCTTTTGGTGCCGCCACTCGGCCGAGGCAAGCCGTTGGTAGCACAGCCGACCTCATGTTGGTGGTTGCAGGATCGAGACACTTGATCGGACCGGTTTCTACCCGTTCAGCTCGGTCTCGTCCGCAAGAGTATACGAGCCTTGACACCGATTTGGTGAAGGATTCAAGGCTAGTGTACCTATGAGCCTACACCAACAGCCAGCCACACTGACATATTCGAGTACCTATCCTACACGTAACGTTGCGCGTGCCGATCCTGACTCTCAATGCCAATTTTCTGTCTAGAAATGTTTGCTTCTTTCAATAATCTATCATCTATGTGGTCACTAATGTTCGCTATCGCGAGATCTCGAGGTTATGTTTCCCATTTAGTCACTGTAAATAACCAAAGATCATCCGATCGTCGCTACCTATTACTTGTTCGATCTGACCTGCAGAATATTGACAGATTCTCCTATCCAAGAGCAGCTCCATCTTCACATCCTCTTAATCAATCACCTGATGCAAAGGAAGTATGGTGATATTTCGGTTCAATGACGCCTCCCATGTATTTCCCTAGGATAGAATATCGCTGGCCCCATCATCATGTTCGAACACTGTAACCTAATATTATTCTCTGTGAATTTTCCGACAGCATATCAAGAGACAAAAATGACTTCGCCCAATGACCACGTGGAGCAGCGCTTCTGCCGAGTGACTCTTCTGGTTTCAAACCTCAGCTTCATGTGACACTTGAACAAGTCAGAGTCTACAACTCCATGTAAAGTCCTCAGAGCAGTTGCGTAGCTTGGACTATGCACAGAATTACACCATTGCTTTTGTAACATTTCTATTTTCGATACAGCCCACTAACCCAAACCACTCGTTTTGTAGAGAAGCGTGTATTGAAACAATGTATGACACCAGTCAGTCGGCGGAGGTTTGCTGTACCCAAGCTTTTTGGGTAGTGAGAGATACTGAACAGGGAGCTCCTTGGTGCTCATATTTCGTAGTCGTGTTTGTAGATCATAGATCACAAGTTGTGAAATACCAATAGCTTGCTGAAATACTTGGGTTCGTTGTCTTTCGACGCTTTTAAATTGAGGGCATTTAAGGATCTCGCCCAGCATGTGTTCCGCGGTATATAATTCTTTGACCTACTTGTAATTTGAAGATTTACCCTCTTCTATGTTATACAGCTCTTCCGAATCCTGCGGATCGCATAAAGCTGCACTTATGGCCTGTACTACGTGCCTGACGCGTTCACGGGCATACCTGACCCCGATACTCTACATCAACTATTTCCATGTAGAAGTGGCGCGACGGCGTCCTCCCGATAAGCATCTCTGGAATTTGCTGCGACTGTGATTACTACGTACCTGTAGAGTGGTTGCGTTTCTTTCGACGTACGTCGGACTTCTTCTTTCAGTAATAGCAGTCAGCCTTGGAAATCTGAGCTAGGTGCTCGTAGGTGTCGCTAGTCCTGGTATTCATTGACTGTGGAATGGCTGGGCTGGATTGTGTTGATTCCTCACTGTTGGAACAGCAAAGGCTGATAAGGAGTAATAGGCAGGTACCATGGGCTGGCTGGCACCTGCCCTGGGCGAAGTGGGACAACTGGCTTAGTCATCACGGCCGGATAAAGGTGGGGCAACCACCCAGGCCGTCACTACCTACTTCGACCGACTCCTGCCTACAATGTAAGATAGAACATCAAGAAAAACAACAAGAAGAACAAGCAATAGGATCACCAACAGACGAGTGATAATTGCTACCACTATTTGTCGTATACGACCCCGTGAACCAACACTCACCTTCCACAAACCAGATAGTCCATCATACAGAGCACTTCTAGCTTCTTCTCTTCCAATGACTTATTGTAAATTATTGTGCCTTGCAGATGAAGTCGTAAGCATTTTGAGGTTCACTTCGCTGTAAAGTAGGTAGCTGTTACGGTAGGCAGCTACTGTACGTTGTATTAACTACGTAGAATACGTAATAACCACGGATGAGCTGTGTATCTATACTACGAGACCTTTGAGACGTTCAATGAGACTTTTAGTGCTAGGGGCTACGCCCGCTACCTAGTATCTAAACCTATCATGGCATTTCACACACAACAACAAAAGAGCCTGTGGCTTAGTGGCAGAGCGTCTCCGTTAAATGCTTACGTGAATCGGTTTCGACCATTCCTATGAACTTAGAACTTCGCTTGCGGTTACTAAATTACTAAGCAGACAATGAGAGATGAAGCGGGTTCGATTACCACCACGTCCATGTGCATCTTTGATTTTTCATCTTTGATTTTTATCTTTTCCTCGCTAGATGAATTGAATTGCTTACTCAAGTAGATGAACATTGTAGGTGACCGACGACGGAAGAGGTTTTTATAATCCTCACTTGGCGTCCTAGTCTACTAGGTTACGAAGATACTCGGGCCAGCGTTCTCGGTCCTCCTCGAGACACAAGCTTCCCAGGGCATCTTCGTAACGGGCATTTTTACCAGGAAGGTACGATACCTTCGGCAAAGGACGGAAGGAGCGCACGCCTTTGGCTATAGCCGTAGATCGCATTGCCTCAGTCAAGTCGCTCACGCCTTGGTCTACAGCTGTAGGAGGCGGTATCATCCACTCAGCGTAGCCTTGGCCACGCATCGTGAGGCGTGCGAGGTGAGCTCCTTCAGAGTCTGGCAGGCTCAATCTGTGAAGGGCATTCACCTTTCGCTCCGTGTCGTCGACTATGTTATGAAAGGAGAGAGAGACGCAGTTCTATTGCGCCAACCCAGCTTCTTCAGCTTCAACCCGGCTGCTGAAAGTCGAGACGTCCCGAGTGGTGCCAGACTCAGGCGGCCGTGCCGTGACAAGCACGACTCCAGACCCGGCGGTCTGATGGGGCACGAGAGCCTCAATACCGCTGGTGTATGAGATGAATTTGGATTGCCTTGAGTAAATTATTAGCATACTTGGCAACTTCCGCAGAGAATGTCAAACTAGTATGACTGGTATGACTGACCAGCGCCTCATAGACAGCTCTTTATCCGGATCATCCCACACCGATAAGGATACTTGAAAGTTCATGAGGCAATTCCAAGCAGGCGCGTACTCGTTCATGAACTCTTGTGGAAGAGAGAGTATGGTGTAGTACTTATTATTGCAACCGGGAATAGGGACAAAGTAGGCATGCAACTTAACAGCAGCGATGAGCTGGGCCTGCTGCCAAACATATAGCACATCCTGGATCAGCGACTGTGTCGTAGCGGTCAGCCTCGCGTTGTCATTCTTGAAACTGATGAGAAAATATGGAGTTAGCATTGCATGGAAATATGGATTTCTAGTTTCAACATGTGATCATACCTCATGGCCTCATGGAACGGCTCCTTCCGTGGGGCTTTGGCCAGAAAGGCTGCGGATCGTTCGAGGTCGAAGTCGTGAAGATCACCATAGGGGTAGTCGAAGGGCGGCGGTAGAGATCCAAAGCCGAACCTCTTCTGCATGTGAACCGGATGACCCTTGACCAGAAGCACATGAAAGGTCTTGCGGCGAATGAAGTCGGCCAGAGTGACTCCATGAAGAGAACCATTCTCGGTCGGGCTCCAGTATGTTGCTGTAGGGCAAGCCCATGCCAACAAGGCAGACCTTGTCGTCGTCATCTAACTCGGATGAGAAGATAAGGACCGTCGTAGCGGGACATTCCTTTAACGCAGGAAACCTGTCGAAAAGCTCAGGGGGTGCATTCTCGAAACTTTGGGCCCACTTATCGCGATGGAATCGGATTTCAATCCGCAGGCCCGGAGAAGGACCGCAAATTTTCGATGCAGTCCTTGAGTCTGTAAATGAAAACATATCAATGACAATGTCCGATGGAGAATCTCAATCAACGATGAGATACTCACACGTGAAGCGTACACCGCGACCCTGATCCTCGTTGTCTGCGCCGTCGGGAAACTGTAGCCAGAGGAAGATATGGAGATCCAACTCCTGGGATCTCTCGATACGAATGCAGCTCTCAATCTTGACGTCGTTACCGACGTTGACACCGCCTGTCGCAAGGATTGGACCCGAGAGATCACCGGCAAATATGATGCATCTCTCGGTTTTGCTTTGCGTGAGAGCCGTTGCCCTTGCTTCGGACGAAGCCTCTTCTTCTTTGAGAGGCATGGTTTTGCTCTTTTCACTTCCAAAATTACTATCTTAATCAGTTAAGGCGTCAAAAATCGTACTTGAGACAGAGGTGACTTACCGATTGCGAAAGCTGGCATGGGTGAAAGAGAAGAAAGAAATAACTAACTTAATTAAAGATCAAAAGTAAAAGTGCAGCGCAAGCCTACCTGTAGATAAGTACGTATCTTTCCTAATTAGGTGTATTTGGACTGAGGTGGATCCAGTCACATAATTGCGCGACTGGTTAGGTCCAGTCCGGCCTCCCCGGCCAAGTGGGTAACAACAACGCAGCAAGAATCCGCATCTCACTTATTACACAGTCTCAAGTAGTTCACTATGGAAAGTTAAAGGAATTGTAAACTTGGAAACAGGGAGACAGGAGACAGTTTGGCACTTTGGATTACGCTAAGACTATAAACGTTTTTGCTAGCTTGCTATTCCTCTTGCCCACAGCCGATTTGCTGTACGCCTTCTTTGCTTCGCTCCAATGCAAAGTGGAGAAGAGAAAGGCGTGGAACCACATCACGACCGGCCGTGCTAGGTTTTTCCCCCTTGTGGTTTTTCCTAGCACTATCCGAACTACTTTCCTTGTGGATAAAGCGACCCGGGAAAAGGATGGCGGATAAGAGAATTCTGGTCAGGTGAGAAGATCTGCTTCATTTTGGAGCGGTTTGAACAGGAGCGTTAGGTGAAGACGTAGCCCTGTAACATAGTTTAGATTAGCATAGACCATGTCGGCATCGCGCCCGACACGTCTCTTGTCGCTCGAGACGTTAAATAAACCACCACCACCACCACCACCAAAGTGAGCTGCCGGATGGGAGGTATCATACAGTTCAGGCTATCAAAGAAGGCTCTTCTCTACGCTGGCTCGGCGTTTACTTCGACCGTAAACTCACATTCAAGAGTCACGTAAGAAACCTCTCTGCAAAAGCATGCCAAGTAGTCAATGGACTACGGGGACTAGGGAACACTGTCTGGGGCGCGCCTGCGTACTTACTTCGTCGAGCGATCACCTCTTGTGTATTACCCACTCAGTACTATGCATCTGAAGCATGGTGGCCCGGCAAGAGCCGGATAAAGAATGGACGTACTATCTCAAACGGGGTTGGTAGTCTGCTACACCAACTGGACGCGACGCAAACCAAAGCCATCAGAGCGATGGTCCCCGTATACAGAACGACGCCTGTACCGATCCTACAGCGCGAGGCGGCTCTACCCCCAGCAGAGGTGATACTGGACGCGAAGCTCCACACAGCGTCCACCAGAATCCATCGTCTGGACGAGCGACACCCTCTCCGAACGAGACTCAGGGACAAATCAGGACCAGACTCACGGCTACGACGAATGGCAAGCCTCGTAAGCAAAAATACCGAATACATCGATCCGTTAGAACTCCCCCCTTGGGAGCAACTAGCGGACTGGCAGACAGCCCTCGCCAGGGTCGGCTACGAACCTAATAAGACCAAAGAAGAACAGGCCCTCTCCTTTGCAGGCAGGATGGCAACTTTCTCCAAGCGGGACATTGTTGTCTACACTGACGGGTCCCAGATGTCGGACGGCAGCAGCACCTCCGCCGGAGCAGGCTGGGTAGGGTACCAAGCTACACGGCAGATCTTCCGCGGATCCGAACCACTCGGCTCCCAAACTGAGGTGTATGACGCGGAGGCACATGCTGCGTATCACGGCCTGATGGAAGCCACCCAGGCTCCTACGGCTCGTATGGCAGATAACGTCCACATCTGCCTCGACAACCTCGCAGTCGCGGCTAGACTATACTCCCAGAGCACAGGAAGCAGCCAGGCTAGATTTAGGGCCTTCAATAGGCTCTCTTCCTCCTGGACTCGGAGACAAAGAGAGAGCTGGACAACCCCCGGCAGGGTTTATGTTTGGTGGTGCCCTGGGCACACGGGAGTACCAGGAAATGAAGAAGCGGATGCTCTAGCCAAGGAAGCCTGCAAACTAATCCCAAAATCACAACCACAGCCCTCATTAGCGCACCTAGAAAGGCAAGCTAAAGCAGCTGCCTTCCAAGCCTTTGCCAGAAAATGGCTGTCCCAATGCCCTCGGCAATATGCCGACCTCGAGATAATTCTTCACCCCAAGCCGCCCGAACTCCGCCTCCCTCGGCACTTACTAGGAAGGCTATACGCAGCAAGATCCCATCATGGAGACTTTGCAGCATACCACGAGAGATTCGCTCATCAAGATGCGTTGCTCAACTGCAGCTGTGGGAAACCCAAGACACCAGTCCATTTCTACTTCTGCAAGCGTGGACGCAAGGCTACACCGCGCTACCTCCGCCAACGTATGGCTAAAGCAAGCATTGATTTCTTGTTAGGTTCTGCTAAGGGAGCCTCTCTTCTATGCGAATGGATAGAGGAGACTAATTTCTTTTCCGAAATTTGCCCGAGTCATTGAACAGGAACGTTAGGTGAAGACGGTAGCCTGTAATATAGTTTAGATTAGTATAGACCATGTCGGCATTGCGCCCAGCACGTCCTTTTGTTACCAGACGTTAAATACATCATCATCATCATCATCACCCAAAGTGAGCGCTCACCAGTATCCACTTAGTGATCACCAACGAACATGGTGATCAGGCAACAAAGGATATGTTCAGGATCAGGACTTGTATATAGGATGGACTCGAGCCGGGCTCTAGGACAGACTTCCCATAGCTTCTTCAGCAATTAACTTCGTATCAGGATTAACATCCGCTTTCAGCTATCACCTTGACAAGACTACGATTGATCACCGAAGCCATACCTTATCCTACGATTGACAGACATAGCTTCCCTGAAGCTATCCCCGACTACGATTACTGTTACCAGTTCCGCAGCCTCAACTTCTGCAAACTACCCCTACGACTAGCTGGCCGTAACACATCTATCCCTCCTTAAGTTAACCTTAGGTACGTAGGTTTATATTAAGTCGGGTCTTTTTTTTATTAAGAGGGTAAGTAATTATATTTTACTAGGGTATCCCCGTGCACAGCTATCTTGCTATTCCGAGGTATATCTTGAGATTCTTAAGTGTTTAGGGAACGCTAATTTCTTAAAGGACTAGATACGGTCGTCTATCTTACGGGTCCCGTTATTATCTACGACGTAACTAAGGAGCACCACCTTAGGGAATCTAATAAAGGATTTCGCTATATTAATATAGTTATATATAATTCTTATTAAGAATAACGTGGTTCATCAGTCAGCCGGCCGGACCAGTCAGCCGGACGTTTTTTCCTAAACACACTTATTGTTACGAGCTGGACAAGGCAAGCAACTGTGGCACAAAGCAAAAGCTTCGATAATGATGACTCCGGCATCATTGTCCCTTGTTCTGCATTATATAGCTACGCGCCCACAGTGACAAGTTGCGGCGGGCGTAACACAGAGCCAAAGTTTAGTACCGTAGAATGGGCTCTAGCGCAACTCAACCGTGGTCTGGAGCTTCCTGGATTCGATGCGTTTCACGCTCACAATGCTCAGAATCCAGAAATAAACCCGGCGTTCTGCCTATCACCGATGCTTACTTTGGAAGCATCAATAATATTGAATCCTTCATTCAGAGACAGGAGGCTACCAATGAGGAGAAGGCAGCGGAGCCGCTGACTGAGGAATCCGACTGCAACTGCCCGAAGAGAAACCACCCAATTATTGGCGTGCTCAGGGCGCAGTCAGACCGACAGAAGTCTCTTTCACAGAAAGCTGTTTCTCACCCGCAGTCAATACACGCGTTGATATGGAGGAATACGGTGGCCTTGAACTGCCATATCTCAAATACACAGTCCAATATACGGTTATTGATTGGACTTCGCACCGATCGAAAGGTCTTGCCCTGCTGGCGTATTTGAGGGTTATTGTGCCGCCACGTTCAGCACGGTCGGACGCAAGTGCCGACCCTCCCTGCCCCGTCCTACCTCGAAACAAATAGTGGGAAGAAGATTCTGCTACGGCGACGAATTCAAATATGGAGGCTGGCACTTTGCCTTCACAGGAAAGAGACACCCCAATCAGGATAGAAGTGCCATGGTTGATCGCAAGTTCAAGTTCGAGATAATCACTACAAGTAAGTGCATCCCATCACTCAAGTGTTAATAAACATTAGAGGCTAATCTTTCGACATATATAGCTAAGACCAATGACGAATTGAGACGTGCTAAGAATCTTTGTACTACCGAGGTGCGCGATAAGCTTGCTAGATTCGATGGCGGTCCACGCCGTAATCGATACGTGGACTTGGAGAGACTAGCCACCGAGCCGTAGTACAACAAGTGCGAGATCTCTGAGCAAGCCATCAGGGGCCTCTGTTCTAATATTGGGCAAACGGCAGGAAAGGTGAGATTGGAAAGCGGTAGGTGCAGTGCAAACTGTGAACGGCCCTTCCACCTACATACTTACACTCAACGAAGGAATTGTGGGCTACGCCCACCAGGTTCCTCCTTCTATATCCACACGCAGTTAAATACCAGTACGGTTATTTAGTTTCGTACCGACCGACAGGCTGTCCTGCTGATGTGCACTTTACAAGACGCCGCAGCCCACCAGACCGTTGACTGCTGAGAAGACTAAGTGATTAGTCTCTCAGTCACGAAAGGGCGCACCATGACGAGGATTCCTTTTGGGCCCAGCCAGAGACGGGGCCTCCAGGCGAGACAGCATCACCTGGGACAAGGAACTGCCAGCTTCTGATCAGCCGAAGACACCCAAGAGAACGCGCAACAAAGGAAAAGCTGACGAGGTGAGCATCGATTACTAGACCGTGTTGGATCAAAGCCATCGCTGATTTCCCCCCTTTGTAGGCCCGCAACCGCGACAACGACCTTTGTAATATCACAAGGATGCAAAAGCCTCAAGTCTGCCATATCATCCCTTTTGTATTATCGAATTGCTTTACGGACTCATCTTCTTTAATTCTCAGAGTAAAAGCCTGGTATGCTCAGGATATAGCGGAAAGGACTAACTTCATCCTGACTACAACAACGAGCAATAACCTCATTGACGACCCGGCGAATATGATCTGCATGGATTTGAAATTGCATAAGTACTTGACGGACGGTAAGTTCATGCTGAAGCCCAGACGAAGACCGTACGAGGTGGTTGTGTTACCTTAGACGGCAGTGTCGTGCCACGAAGCGCACGAAATCAGAAGGCGGAAAGGTTTCGCTGGGTGTCAGGAAATCACTTTCCACTGGCTCCGATGGACAACTCTCGAGGGCATGCTGGCTGATGCCAACTACACAACCGACCCCTGTGAACACATTCAGCCCCTCGATCACGAGACGGCCTTCAGCCTGGAAACGGGATATTCAGTGGACGATAGACAGACGATTAAGATCTTTGCTGAGTGCGAAGCCGACGTTCCGAACTACGATCTTTTACAACTACACGCTAATCTGCTCACGGCACTCTCGCTTACAGCAGATGTCGGTCTGAAACTCTACGAGTCTGATGATGATGGCTGGGTATAGAAGAGTTCTGCGAGCAGAGGTGGCAGAAACGCCTGCGAGAAGAATAATATCAAAAATGTTACGTAAAAGTAGCCTTCCCCCCCACCGAAAGAATGCGTCACGATCTACTATCTACAGATAATTCACGACGAAATACGTTACGGAAAAAGCCATAAAAGGACGGAGATACCAAACACAGAGATAGCAAGAACAGTAAGTACATACACTGACTCCATACATGATATCGCAAAAGGCAACACCTACTCACCTCACGAAACCCCTCGGCAAAATGTCTATTTGCTGCCTCGACTGTAGTACCGCTGCTCAGTAAGGTATGCGACGGAGCTATTAGCTATTATATCAAATAAAGCTCACAGCTCATTCTGCCACCGCTGTGCCCGTACTGCATCATCTTTGACTCGACGCTCGCACTACGCGAATCTAGAGACGGATACACCACTCGTAGTAATAGTCGACAAGCCCTAAATAGCCCTCTACATGATGATAAGACTGAGATCGGCCACCGACGACGCGGCAATTTGGGCCAGGAGACCATCAGAAACTGCGTAAGGCTGACTGTGGGTGTCCGAATACCGTATTCAGCGACAGATGTCTAAGTTTCTAACTATCAGGAATGTCGAATTGAACACACGAACTTTGCATCATCAAATCTTCACAAGTGTAAAGTATACGCCAGAAAATTCATTTCTCCTGGTATTATGCTTCCATAGCAATTAATCAACAAGATTTCGCCTTCTTCCCATCTCACTCAGCAGCCAACTTGATGTTGTACTCGAGCTCCTTGGCAGCCTTGGGGTCTCCTTTCCTCTCGATGAACTTCACAGTAAGACCATCCTTGACCGCAAACACGGAGTCGTCATCCAAGTACTTTGAGTCTTCGTCAAAAATCTGTGTTGTTACCGACTTGAAGCCTTCTGACTTGACCTGGGGAATTTTTAGTGTCTGCATCGGGGTATTGCCATCGGAGTTGATTGCTTACAATGAGATGTATGTGAGCAGGTCGGAAGTGGTGGCGGTGAAGCAAATCTAGAAGCTTTCCAGCTGGGCCGTCACCCGGTACCTTATACTCGTTAATAACCAAGAACGACTTCACAAATGCATCTTGAGAAAACCTACGGGGTAAGGTGTTGGTCGCAGGCAGTAAAATCCATAACGTCCCTCCGCATCCGTCTTGAAGACTCCGCGGAGGTTGTGTTCCGGCTGATCGGCATCTTGCTGCTCGTACAGACCTGTGGTGCAACATTAGACGACATGTGCATCAACAAAAAAGCTTAGCTTGATCTTCCAAACTTACCGTTTGTGGATGCTTGCCAGACGTCGACTGAAGCGTTTGCCAACGGCTTTCCAGTGTTGGAGCACGTCACTTGACCGTACATGAAAGCGAGCTCGCCGTCCTCGGGGCACTTGACAGCGATTGTGCTCCCGTTGGGGCGGATGGGGGTGTCAGCCCGCCAGAAGGGGCCGAGGATGGCTGTTGCTGTACCTGGTTCGCCGCCGTTCTTTGTGGCCACTCTGTTGGTGATATCGTCGACGAGCCTGAGAACTCATTAACACATGCATTGGGTCTCAGAATTCGTAGAGAGAACTCACGACTCCAATCCGATAACATCGCAAAGCAGCTGGCCTTCGTTACGTCGGTCATTTGACATTTGGCCCGCCCAGTTAATCATGTTTACACCCATCATCCACTCATCTGTGGTGAGATCGACCTCGCGGGCAAAGTCGTGGATGTGCTGGATGAATGAGGACAGAATCTTGCGAAGTCTAGGGTTCGTCTCCGATCCCATGGACGCGATGACCTGCTTGGTGAAGTCCTGGCCGAGGCCCCGGTACTGGCCGTCTTCGTTCTGTAATGAGCCCATGATGATGAGATGTGAATGTGTGATGAATGCTGAGTTTCTGGTGTGATCTAGGAATCAATGCTGATGATGTAGATAACAATTCTCGGTGAGACGACGTGATGTTGAAATATGAGCTAACCTCAACTACCCCGACTGCCAAAAGCGTCCCGCAGTTCGATGGAGGATACTTATTCCCAATCACAGCGCGTGCATTACCCGCCATTGCTTTGTAATTGCACGTGCGCTGTTGCTGAGCGGGTACCACCGGCGATGGGCTTCCAACGCTCCCGGAAGCCCCCCCCCCCCCCCCGGGTCCGGGAAACACGCCTCTCTCTTTTTTCGGGTACGGGGGAGGGATCCGACGCGAGGGGTGGTCTGCCGAGAATCACAAACATGCTGATAGAACAAAGGACATGCCATATTTGGGCTCATTATGGACTTGGTCCGGTCGGCTTACCCCCATTGCATTGGGGACCCCGCAGTTTGATGGCTCCAGGCTTCGGTTTGGCGGAGTCAGGCGCGCGGGAAGGATCAATTGCTTCGGCTTCGGGTTGTGAGATGTGACTTTGCTATGCCCCCTGATTCCGTGCGGATTTAACCCAATGGCACGACCATCGTCAGATGGATCATTCAGTGTTATTTGGTGAACAGTGGAAGTGAGATGAATGCTTCAATCAGCTCACGATGCGCAGATGAAGCCCAACTTCAAGGACTCTGAGCGCTGGATACATGGTCCAATTCACGCGGCTAGTTCAGTAAGGAGCGCACTATGAGTCGCTTGACAAGTTGATGCAATTTTGCCCGTCACTGGATATCATTATTGCAAGGTCTAGATGAAATTTCATTCTATCTTGACATCTGTTCACGCCTTTGCAACCCCATTTGTCTGCGCAACTATCCGGTGATCCTCCTCCGGACCAAAGTCCCAGCTCGCCTCATCCGAACCGTTCGGCCTGCTCGCCCTCTTGAATCCAATCTCAACACCCTCAATCTGAACTACCGGGCTCACAGCCTCGACGTCAGCCTTGTAGCGCCTTGCGTACCACTTCTCGCGGACGTTGGGAGAGCTGAACAGTTCCGGCGCGTACCCCTTCATCGCCTTGAGCGCCGTGCCTGAGATCTGATCAACGCTGTGGCTGTGCCGCAACGCAAGGAATTCGTCGCCCGCGAGCTTGCGCAGTTCCTTTTGGACCTCCTCTGGGTATTTTCCGGCCTTGATCAGGAGGAGATCGTACTGCAACAGCGATGCCTTGCCGTGCCACGAGCCACCCTGCGTCGCTCTGTTGTAGAGACCGGTGAGAGCGGCAATGGCGCCCATGCATCCCGTTCCGTAGTCGGAAATGGGGAACGGGGGAACGACGGGCTCGTCAAGTCCCATGAATTGACCCTGCGCCCACGCCACACCACTCGCCTATTTCCCAGTCAGCATCTGTGAGTGTGAAAAAGAGATACGTGATGACTTACACAATCGGCAATCTGCTGCCAGCCAGGCCGCTGGCACCACTCCCCTTGGTATCCAAAGCAGTTCTCATTCACATACACGAACCCCTTTCCACGCTCCTTTGCCAACTTTGTCAACGCAGTCGCGCCGTAGCCCAGCTTCTCCAACGCGCCTGGGCGGTAGCCGTCCAGCACGACATCCGCCTCGGCAAGCAGGGTCTCAAAGTGCTTTCTCCCCTCCTCAGTCTTCAGGTCGAGGTCGGCGGCGTGCTTGCCCATGTTGCCATCAACTTGGAAGAATGGAACATCGCTAAGGTTCGGGCTAGTGATCTTCAGAACATCTGCGCCGTACTCTGCGAGGATGCGTCCTACGACGGGCCCTGCGATGATGCGGCACAGCTCTAGCACTTTGACGCCCGACAGTACCCGCTTGTCAGATGTAGACGGCAGAGGAGCTGGGGGTGTTGAAGTCTCAAGATTGTCTACGCTCCAGGGAGGAAATGTAACATTCGTTTTGCCCTGTAAGTTGGTTAGCAGTGTTGCCAAAGTCAATCAGTGGGTGAGACTTACATGGGGCGTCTTGATGAAATCCTCATACTTGAGAACAGGCACCCCAGCTTGGCGCTTATCGGCGTTCATGCGCTCAAGCTCACCGACCGAAAATTGCCTCACATGAGATTCTATCGCCTCAACAATAGCACTGTGGTCTTTCAGGTCTGGCCTAAATGGCTCGAGGCCGATCATGCCGAGCGTTGTCGATGCTTCCAGAGATCCATGAATGTGGTAGTACTCGCCCGGCTGCTTTGTCTCATACAAATTCGCTGACATGCGGCGATAAGGATCTGACTGCGCCTGAAGCAAGTCCGTATCTAAGTGCACAAGTCAGAGAACTTCATGCTGCTTTCGAAAATGCACCAAGACAACTCACCTTTTAAAAATTGCTTCACTTCTTTATCGAGTTTGCCATACCCTCCAACAGTCGCCAAATACGCCTGAATCAGAAACGCGGTGCTCTTCTCCAAGCTCACAGACACCTTCTTGCCGGCGGCGACGCCATCCTTGGTGGCTGCAAGGGCACCTGCTACACCACCTTCGATAGCCTTCAGAGCTGAGGCCAACTCGGTCTCCTTGAAAGGAATCGGGAAATAGGGCAAGTCGCGGGTCGCCGAAAACCGCACATCCTTCGAGATCTTTTCTGCCTCTGCTGGTATCTGAACAGAACTCAGGACGAGGTCCAAGATTCGTTTCGTCTCCGCGACGGATGAGTATTTTGAGTCTGTCATGGTTGCTTGCTACTGTGGAAAGGACGTTTGAACGATACTAGCAGTTGTTTCGCGCGCACAGAGGCCGGCTTGAGTAGGGAGTAATACTGAGCACAGAGTAATTAACCCGTTGGGACTACTGTTGATTGTGTGTACCTTCTAGACTTGCGATAATGGTTACGCGCGCGAAAAAAGGATGATTATTTCTTCCGTCTTTCAGCTCTACGATCGCGCATCTTGCCCATATCCGCTCTCCATTTCCCGTACCTCTCGATCAACTCCCCGATCCGATTCGGCGGTTCGCGAGGTCGGAAGCAGCTGCGTTACAGTAATGGACAACGAAACGTCGGACCCGCATCGGGAATCGGGCGGAAGGGGACATGTGTGCTGGCGGAGTGTCCAGCAATAGCAACTCTGGAGCCACATCAAAAGACCCGGCTTCCGATGGCTTCGGAAATGGGCATAGCTACTGCGGGCCTAGCTTGGGGGGCTGGGTGGCGCCTTCTGGGGCTGCGCTCAAGCTTGGGACAATGGAATGGAACCGTTTCCTCTCGGTCTTGGGGCGATCGTCGGATAAGGGCCTCGTTAGGTTTGATGTCATGTCGGGTAAGGGACTAGCTTTTGGTATTCCATTGGTTGAAGATAGGTGCGTTTGACATTACAGTTTGATTGAAATGGTGTCCTCGGAAGGTGGCACTGATGCTGGTCGTTGTTAGCTTTTGGTCAGTTGTAACTAAGCAAGTTCGTTGGCATATTTCTATGCTGGCCCTCTCTCGGTGTCACCAGCAAGTTCTTCCTTGCAGAGCTGACGTGGTAACGCAGCGGTGGAGAGTGAAAGCGATGATCAAGTCCGCATTGGATACCAATTGCATCGTCTTTGAGTCTTTCAAGTGAAGGGCATGAATTGAATAATGGCTCAAGATGCCGCTGGACTTTGTAAGCGGTGGATATATCGCGTGGGTTGACGGGACGGATGCGGGACATTGTTGGATGCCGAGCCAAGCGGTCGACGATCCAACCCAGCAACCCGTTTCTTCAAGCAACCAGCCACAGCCAATGGTAGTAACTGCAGAAGTAAGACATGGACCATTATTGGCCACGCCACTATGGATTGACGACTCTTGAGTTCTGACTTGTTGCCCATTTCTCTCTGAAGCTCCAAAAACCTCGGCATCCTTCGTGACCTGCGCCGCAGCGGGCAGCAAAATCTGGGGAAAGATTTGTGAGCTAGGACCCCCTGGGAAAAGTGTTCCCCCGCAAAAGAAGCGAAAGCGCGCGCAAGCAAAGGGGAAAGGGAAAGCCAAGAGCTCTGCCCCGGACCATCCTTTGCCTCAGCTGGCCGCCGCCGCCGCAGTCCTGTCTGGCCCCCCCAACCCCGGAGTTCAACGTCTCCTATCTTGCCACGCACTCGTTCCTAGTTGAATCGAGAGAGCTGTGTGAGGTTGTCTACTTTCATACCGTATCTTCAATCAGACGAACGTCGAAGGCGAGCAAACGATGCCTACGAAAAGAGTCCGTCAGAATGAGCGGCGTAGATGCGTCAAGGCTTGCGGCAATTGCAAGCGGCGCAAGGAACGCTGCGATGGTCAACAACCCTGTCGGAGGTGCGTGATCCGCAGAGTCGAAGCCGACTGCACCTTCATCGGCCCGTCGACGAACTTTGCCGCTGCGGAGGACTCGTCATCCGTGAGAAGTCCTGATCGCCAGCAGATTCATGTTCCTCTTCCTCCTCACCGAGGGAGCCCTTCCGGTCACGGTCAGGATCTCTTCAGTTCTTATGGGCCGACCGCCTCCTTTCACGAAGCCGTTATTTTACCGAGTCATCATCCTCATCATCGGCGCGCCTCGTCGTCAATCAGCCACCTCTCACAGAGCACTGCGGTACCACAGGTATCGCGACTCATCGCAGATGGCAAGGGCCGATTCATGTTCATTGGCGATGCCGCCAATCTGGCCTTCTTGAAAGTGATACGTCGGCTGGTACGCGACCGCGTCGGCCTGTGTCCCTTTACTGATGACCCCCTGCGCCATATCATGGTCGAGGCGACTCCTGAAGGTCGCCCGAAATGGATCATCACGAACCCCGCCGATATCCCCTCCCAACCCAGCACTGAGCAAGCAAGATATCTGCTGCGGTGGTACCTCCGTGCAACGAACTGTATTCTCGACGTCTTTAATGAGACTGAGATCCTCGAGGACCTCGAACACTGGCTGCGTGGCGAGCCGACGAGTCAAGATGAAGAGGCCATGAACTGCATCTTCTTTCTGATATTCGGCGTCGGAGCACAGCGATGTCCGGATGATCGGGATGCCGATGCTGAGAAATATTTCAACTACGGTCGATTCCTAGCAGTGTCGTATGCTATGGAGAACCCGACGAACAACACTGTGCGCAGTTACATACTCATCACCGTCTACCTCCTCGGCGCATCGCGGCGCAACTCAGCCTTTATGCACCTAGGCGTCGCTGTCCGGGCTGCCTACGCGCTGGGAATTCACCGGCGAGACGTCCCAGCCCTATTCTCGACACAAGAGCAAGACACCCGGGATCGACTGTGGAAGGCCCTCCGGGTTCTAGACCTGTTCTTGGCCGCCTCGTTAGGGCGACCATTGGCGACATCCGAGACCCGAGACACATCAGCGAGCGAGAACTACTCTGCTTCACTGGACCTCTGCGCCATCTTCGAGTCAATCCTGAACGACGTCTACGCCAAGCGCATGGTATCTACAGAAACGCTGGAGCGTATCAGCGAACAGCACCGTCGATGGGCCGCGAGGTTCAGTGACGGTCTCGCAGCTGACGGAATGAAGCCCAGCAAGTATGTTGACGCTGACGACGGTGAGAAGTACCCAAATATCGGGCTTTACCACATGAAAGAAGCATACTACTGGAGCATCATGCTTTTATCGCGGCCTTTCCTCATCGACTTTGTTTCGAGAAACATTGCCCGCTCCCGGGCGACATCGATGTGGTCCGAAGAAACGCCCTTATCTTCACCATCTGACCAACTCTTGGTCCATGCTTGCGTGGACTCTGCGATACGGACCATTGACCTCCTATCAACTCTAATTCCGGACAAAAACGTCGCCAAACGACACCCCTTTGTCATCAACTCCGTATTCGTCTCCGCCTTAGTCCTTGGCCTGGCCGTCTTTGGCGACCTGGACAGCACGTTCCCCTTGGACCACGGCTTAAACGATGCGCAAGCGCTGTTGAAGAAGTTCAGCAAGCATGATCCTGTTGCCAGCAGAGAGCTCGCCATCGTCGAGCATCTCCAGAGTGCTTGTGTCTTGTATCGAGAGCGGAGGGCGCGTCGGAAAATGGATTGTCAGGGGATGCTGATCGGCGAGCTGTTCGGAAGTGTCCACGAGGGCGGACCGCTGTCAACGGAAGCATCTAAGCTCGGCTCAAATGCCATGCACCGAGATATTCGCCACTTTGGCAACCATCGACATTTGAGCACATCAGAAGCCGGGGAGATCAACAGCCTCGACCAGAGCGTCTCACTGACGACGGGGAGCACCGATGGGCCGCAGATGTTGGGTAGCGAGACTGGCCGAGGAACAAATGTGATCCAGGCACTGACTCCGTCGACTGACATTCTGCTCCCAATGTCGCCGAGGACGCTACTATTTGATTCTTATGGGCAAGATATGCCTTTCTTCCCTACTATGGATGCAAGCATGGCTCACTTGGGCTACACGGATGAGATGTTGCTTGCTGATACGGGGGCTTTAATGGAACCGCCGTGTTAGCCACGGAGGAATGGCACGTGTTTGGAAGTAGACTTGTACGAATTATTAGCGACTGAATGACCAAGAATACCAAGCGATGAACCACAAAGATCTGTCTATTATCATAAGGATGGGATGTGCCTGTAGTGATGGATTGCCCGAGCTATATCGCTCAAGCAGTTTCAAGCCTAGCGAGCATGAAACACAACCATACAGCGCTCGTGAGAACGAAGATCAATAGGTAACAATACTTGTTTAAATTGATTAGATCTAGGTCTTCAAACATACGAGCCGAGCTTCCGTCCTGCCATATACTGCGGCCCAAGTTCGGGACCCTGCAAATTACTTGCATGGCGTGTCTACAACACTTGATGAACCCCCCACCCGTGTCACCTCAGAAGCTCTCGCCTGCCGATCTCCTGCAAGCAGCAATGACCTCGTCCGGCTTGCTCAAGAATGGAGAGTGACTAGCCTGCATAGTCTCGACGGTCACATCCACACCAGAGGTATCAATCATCTGCTGTTGGCCTTGATGAGGAATCGCGTTATCGAGCTCGCATTTGATGTAGGTTACTGGTATGTCCTTGTACGCAGGGTATGTGAGCTTGCTGTAGAACGTCTGATAACTGTGGTGCTTGAGTCCTGCGATCGCCTCCTTGATGGCGGCTTCGTCCATGTCGTTGTAGAAGATCTCCTCTGGGCGAGCGGGGTCGACCTTTGTCTTATCGTGGGACACGATGAACCAAGGAAGCGGATTTTCTTGAAGCATGTCGAATAGTGAGACTCCTGGAGGTGCTTTGTTAGTCACGCAGTCCTTGTCAAAATCTGTTGGTCATAACTCACCCTCTGGAACCATGAAGGCCGCACAGAATACCAGTCTTACAACGCCGCCAGTCTTGCCTTCTTTCTCCCGAGCTGCCTTGCCAAGACCGCGGCAAGCCTCGCAGCCCACAATACCTCCATAACTGTGCATGAAGAGGACGACATCCTCACCAGCATCTACACTCTTCTCAATCTCTTGCCGAATGGCCGCGACATCGGGCTGGAAATCTGACAGCGGAGGCTCCGCACCGAAGCACGGGAGCTGCAAAGACTTGGTGGGATACCCGAGAGCCTCGAGCTTCGAAGTCACTGGCTCGAACTTGGTCGCGCAGTGCCACGCGCCGGGCACGAAGATGAAGGTGGGCTTGGTAGCAGTCATTTTAATCGTGAGAACGTCTGATGTTTTCCTAGCGTCGAATGGTATGTTGGTGTGAACTGTCTTCGTCGCTTGACAGAAGCAGTGGGACCCTTTGCACCATTTTAAACTCCTTCCCCACGGGGGAGGATCTCAACTCTGCGAGATGAGATCCAGGGCCAGAAGCGAATTACCCCAGACCAACGGCATGATGACTTCGGACCGGAGTCCGGGGTAGAGGCAGCATGACCTTGCTATTTGGTACTATTTTGGACACTAAAACGCGTTGGCAGCTGTGGCGCCTGGGGTCGACGGTGTTAGTCCTCAATGGCTACGAGCATCCAGCTCCCAGTGAAGGGATCTAGACTGCACAACGACTTTAAATTTTCGGAGACTCACATTATTGAAGGATAGTCAGATATGCGATCTACAGTAGCAAAGTAGTTCCCCTCGTTTCCCCCCCTCCAGTGCCGAGATGATACTCCTCAGTCAATGCACGTGTGGCACGCTTGCGCCGTCACCCGAAGCTGGCCTTCGGCACCTGGTCCATTGTTTGAGGCCCCATTCCCGACGTCTAAAACCCGCGATCCGATAGGCTGCACCCGTGCTATGGAGGAACATTCAGCTGCTGGGAACTTTCAGCCGAGTGAAGTTTCCCATCCGATGGGTCACCGATGCACTGTTTCCGTGGTCGTTCGGGCACTTCGGCACTGGCGCAACGTGGGTCGCGGCCGGGGTCCGGGGGGATCGGGGTCGGCCAGAATCATCGAGAGCGTCATAGGTCCCAGCCGAGTAGCCGGTCTAGGAAGTAAGGGGAAGTTAGCCTTGGTAATTTGTCTGCTTGCTCGGCCCTTTTTTCCTAGTGTCAGCGATATATCTTTGCGTATTTCTTCGTCGTTGTGATCTACGTGCAAGTCTTCAGGCTAAAGAAAGAGAACTGTTTCGCAAAGCTACAAGAAGTCGTTTCACGTAGTCTGAACTGCCCACCATCTCGAATACCACATTTAAACTTTGACCTTCGTTTTCACCGGCAATTTTCTGCCTTGATCGAGATGGCACCACCAGAAGAGTTTTGCCAGGCGCCAAACAAGCCCTTCAATGTGGCTGTTGTTGGTGGTGGTATCGCGGGTCTGACCCTGGCCCTTCAACTCCTCCAGAACAGGATACCGACGACGCTATACGAACAGGCGCCCAAGTTCGGTGAGATCGGTGCAGGCGTGTCTTTCGGTCCCAATGCGCTGAGGGCCATGTCCTTGATCTCACCCCACGTGCGGCAAGCCTTCAAGAACCAAGCAACACACAACGAATCAGAAGATCATCAGGACGTTTGGTTCGACTTCAGGTACGGCCAGACTTGTAATGATAAGAACAAAGAGGGCGACCTCATTTATCGGCAAAAGTGCGAGACCGGCCAGTCTGGTATTTACAGAGCACACTTCTTGGACGAGCTGGTCAAATTACTGCCCGACGGAGTTGCCGTTTTCGGCAAGAGGGCAGAAAAGTACGAAGATGACGGGAAAAGCGTGCTGCTCACTTTCCACGATGGAACAACCGCTCGTCACGATGCTGTCATTGCCTGTGACGGTATCAAGTCCAGATTGAGGAGTTTGATGCTTGGCGAGGATCACCCAGCATCCAAGGCTGTCTTCTCTGGAAAGTATGCCTACCGAGGGCTCATTCCCATGGAGGAGGTAGAGAAGCTTCTGGGTGAAGAACTGGCAAAGAACGCCCAGATGTACTTTGGCAGAAACGGCCACATCTTGACATTTTCTGTCGCAAAGGGCAAAATCATGAACGGTAAGAATCGCACTCTGCAATTTTCAGTCTACCAACGATGGCTAATCAGGAGTCTAGTGGTGGCTTTTGCCAGTGCCGATGAGTGGAAGTCAGACAAGTGGGTTGTCTCTGTGGATAAGGAGGACATGATCCGCGACTTCGAGGGCTGGGGCGAGAAGTCCAGGCAGATCATCCAGCTTATGCAGAAGCCCGACGTGTGGGCACTATTCGAGCACCCGCCCAGTCCGACATACTACGAGGGGCGTCTTTGCCTGCTAGGAGACGCGGCTCACGCATCCACGCCTCACAAGGGATCTGGCGCGGGCATGGCGATTGAAGATGCCTATATCCTCGGCAACCTCTTGGGGTCCATCTCTGATGCCAGCCAACTTGAAGCAGCATTCTCAACGTACGACAAGACGCGGAGGGAGAGATCTCAGCAACTCGTCGTCGACAGCCACGAGACAGGTCAGCTGTACGATTTGGAGCTAAGCGAGGACTCTGAGTGGGTTGCCAACAATCTGTCGAAGCGAATGCAGTGGATTTGGAACTACGACTTGACTGATGAGTTGGAGAGAGGAAAGAGGGAGTTGATGACGGAACCATCTGGTGAAACGAGGGCGCAGCTTTGAGCATGAGGCTCAGGGGTCAAGCTTTGTCAGCGAGTAGAGCGAAAATGTATTTATCGACTACCACACCGTCCATATTTTCTTCGATTACAATGCATATCTAGCTAATCAGAGGTTTCTATTGAATGATTGTTATCCGGGAAGGAAGTGCTTTCCGACCTTCTCTCAGTTACCGAATTCCGCCTACTCTTCAATCGGTCGTTCTCCCGCGAGCAACGTCTCCTGGATTCTCTGAGACGGCAGCCATCTTTCTGCAGGAATGAACCACCAAGAAAGAATGGCGAAGATTGTGACAATGCCCATGATAACGGGAGCATAGTTGAGCGTCGATGCCTCGACCGGGAAAGCATAGGGCGAGAACAGCACAGCAACGACCCAGCCGTTCCATAAGACGGCAATCGCCTGGAATGGCTTGCTGAGGCGTCCCAGACTCCACGCGGGTTTCGGGAATTGCTTTGGAGTCAGGAACAATCGGCAGAGGCAGATCAGGCCATAAGCAGCGGCCGAAGGCACACCCGCTGCCGAGACGAGGGAGGTGAAGGCGACTGAAGACGGAAGAATCGTACAGGTGATGACAGAGGCCACGCCCCAGACTACCAAGACGGCGTTTCTGGGTTGGCCATCGACGACTTTGGCAACCCACGGAGACCAGGGGAGAACTCCGTCGCGTGCCACGGCGAAGACCAGGCGGGATGCGGCTAGAATTGCGATTGCAGTGTTCTGCAAAGTGAGTCAGCATTCGATAGACACGCACACAAGCTGAGATTGAGGTAGGAAAGACAACTTACAAACCACAATGCGACAATGCAAACGATGTTCATGACAATGTGCCCTCCCTCTCCGAGAATGGCTGCGTACAATGGTACAAAAGGCTGAGCGCCGCCAAATGAGAAAAGAGTGTCCGCATCAGGCTGAATCACAACCCCGTTAACATGGCTTCTGCACGGCATTTGGAGGGAGCATCGACTTACAACGCAGAATAGGAATAGGATCACGACAATGAAGCCGCCAATTCCACTGACAACGGTACTCCAAAAGATACCGCGAGCGGCAGCGACATTTGCATTCTTGGTTTCCTCCGCAACGTGACCCGACGCGTCGAATCCGATGAGAATACCGGCGGTGGCAAGATACGAGAGACACCAGTTCCAACCCGCCGGAGCGCCGGTCCCGTTGTAGGTGGTCATGAAAGCATCATGAGCAGATCGGAAGCCATACTCACTCTTGCTCGTTGCGACTGGCAGCCAGACCATGTTCAGAACAAAGTCCAACAAGACGAACCCGGTTGACAGGTAGAAGATCCATTTGAAGTAGCGGGCTGGACTTTTGTTAGCTTGCTGCTGCAGTTACTAGGAGTGCTGGTCGTCTCACGAGGCAACAGATTCCAGATGGCAGCCAAAGCCAGCATGATCTCTGTAGTGATCCATTGAACAGCGCGGAATTTGAGGCTTGAGGAGTCGGAAGGGAAGTCGAGGTTGAAGACAACAATTTCCTGTTACAATGTTAGAGACTATTGCAAGAAGATCGACTTACGTCAATCCTTACCGACAGCATGTAGTTAACAGCAGCCTGAGTATTACCTGGGAGTGGTCAGCGACTCAGCTTCATACATGTATATGAAGCTCCAGAGATGATTGCCAACTTACTCGCACAGAAAGTTGTCCATGCCGTAGTGCTCCACCATGCAACAATGAAGCCAAAGAATCTGCCGAACCGGGGTCCGCCAGCTTCAGCAGCCCATAAGTAGATAGATCCAGCGAGGGGAAGAGAAGAACAGATCTCTGCAATGACCGCGGCGGTGATAAAGGTGAACACGCAAGTCACGATGAAACTTGTCCTAGCTGGATATTAGACATTGCGAAAGCTCGCCTGGAGGAACAGTTACAAGTACATACCAGTAGGCCAGATTGCCTCCAGCAGCAATGCCAGTAGAAAATGTCACTCGGACTCCACCAATGAAGTACAGAGCAGCTGAACGAAGTCAGAAACAAACACCGAGAATTAGCAGAATGAACGTCATCAGCATACCAAAGGTTGTCGCAAAGTTGTGAAACGTGTTGAATGTCCGGTGCAGCACCTAGAAGAGTGAGTGATTTGTGTGAGGTGGGCTGACTTTGGAGTCGTCTGCTCACCGGCTTGTAGCCTAGGTTTTCCTGTGGGTTCTGAGGTTCGCTAACCCAAATATACTAAGTGCATCTATGGCGAAGAAAGCTTACCAAAACCCGGTCATCTTTTGTAGATTCATCTTCTAAGTCGCTCTGGAAGGTATTTGCGTTCTTGGCGACGCCTTCGTCTTGGCGCTCTGTCGCAGCAGCCATATTGATGATGTCCTCGATGTTGGTTCAAGCTGAGCGAATTAGCGACGTCGGAGCGAACAAATGCGGATGGAGGGGACGTCGTCTTATGGGAGATGGAGTATTCGGGCCGCCCAGGGGCCGTTGAAAAATCTAATTAGTGGGACGAATATGTTCGGCTTTTGCGCGTGAAAAAAAAACAAATCTTCCAACGGCTGCTGCATGTGCCAATGGCTGACTTATTTAGTCGTGTGATGTGGGACTGGATGACGGCATCGGTAAGTCGTACGAAATAGCCTTAGCAGTAAGTTCGTGACACGAAACGAGATGAGTCTTTTGACGAGTCAACATACAGAGTAATACTCGCTACTACATGTGTATGATGTGTGCTTCTTCATGACTTTATACCCAATTCCTTGACTTCCATGCCCGCTATGGTACAATCTACAGCACTACGACATTGAAGGGGGCGCTGAGTAAGTCACATCAAGGCGGTTCCAACAAACATTGAAACGCGCAAATAACCACCTACGCGGTAGGGGATTGACGGGATTGACCTCTACCACCCATGGTGATGACGGTATCTCTTTCAGGACATCCTCGCCATACGTCTCTTCTTCTGTTCGGAGGTTAATATGCTATTGGGATATCGCCGCGCTCCGCGTGTCCCCTGCCAATCAGGTCAAAGTAAGCACCCCCGGGTTGACTGCCAGTTGGGGGAGGTTTCGGGCATGAGGTCTATCACGCAATCGGCACTCAAAGAACGCGATGCACTGGAACGTGGGACATGATCAGTCTTGGATAGTCCGTGGATATTCTAGATGCTCTGAGTCTAGAACTCACTGTGAATATGAATCTTAGAAAATCGGGCGAACTTCATTGGCGCCGACATCTTGTGACTCTGTAATTATCTTGGTTTTCTGAAGTCTCTGTGCCAAGATGGCTATCCTTGCCCTAACGTCGCTGGCTGCTCTATGTCTAATAGTGGTGACAGTGTTCAAGGTAGCTATCATCTCAAAGAGCTCGATGAGACTATGCTGACGCTCTTCAGACCGTGACTCGAGCTCACGCTTCCCCGTTGTCCAATATACCGAATGCTGGGTGGGGAGCAGGCTATTCGAGGTTGATTTGGGCCTTTCGTCAGGAATACCGAGGCAATGTCACTCTCGAACTTCCAAAGTTGCATGAGACATTGGGTAACTCCCTCGTCCACCTCAATTGAACTATTAATATGGGCGGTATCTAATCCTATAATTCTCCTAGGTCCTCTTGTTCGAATTGGTCCCAACGAACTATTCTTCTACTCTATCGATATTTACGACACAGTCCACAGGGTTAACAGCGGATTTGTGAAGGATCCCCAAAACTATGGTGAATTCGTCCAAGATGAGCACCCTGCGCTCTTCTCCATCACGTCTGTTGCAACCCTCCGGAGATACACGTAGCTTTCGTTTCCTGACACCTCGCAGAGATCCCCAAGAGCATGCCAAAAGGCGAAGGATCCTTGGCCAATTCTTCAGCCGCAGCAACGTTGAAATCTCGAGGGACTGATGCTTCATCACGTTCACGATTTCATCTCGGCAGTCGGAAAAAGAAATGTTTCTTTCGATGTAGGCTCTGCCTGTCGCGCCCTTGAGGCAGATATCATATGTGAGACGCCATGGTATGACTCGGCCCTTTGTTCGTCGGCTAACTTCCAAAGCGGAATTTTCATTCGGCGAAGCACTGTCGGCCGTCTCTGCCTGGTCAAAGGGGAACGAAATTGCTTTTATTGCAAAGAACGATGAGAAAGCGACATTCCTGCCTCTGGTGAATGCTAGAAACTCCTCAAGTTGATGAAAGGCTAATCATCTAGATAATGAACTTCCCGGTCTTGCATTCCATCTGGATGCGAGTTGAGGATTTCCTTTGTCATATGGAGGGATCGCGAACATCCTCCATAAAAGGGCTTCAGCAATACGATGAGGTACGTACTCATCATTTGGAGGGAATTGACAGGCTAACTCATCAAGTGGACGTACAAAGCCTGGGTCAGAAACAAAGATCCAGACCGAAAGTCGCAGTTTCCAACCCTCCTCAACGTCATGGTGTCAGCCGGTGTACTAACGCAGACAGCCCTTTCAGAAGCCAAAGAGAACCTTGGACCTGAAACCGACACCACTTTTGCATCACTCGCGCACATTCTTTATGCTCTTGCATGTAACCCCACATATCAGGAGAAATTGTACCAAGACCTGGCATCTCGCAGGTTCCCCACAGATTTGAATACTCTAGAAAACATCCCACGCTTGAGAGCTTGTGTCAAAGAAGGTATTCGTTGGGCTGGTGCATCTGTGGCGATATTGCCGCGCGTGGTTCCCCAAGGTGGCGTCGAGCTCTGCGGAAAGTTTGTTCCCGAAGGCGTAAGTCATCAGTATGGCCCAAAAAGCGATTGAGTATTTCTAAGCCTAGGCATCTTAGACCATCATAACTTCATCACCAGTATGGTATCTTCGAGACAAGTACGCGTACCCGAATCCGGAGCTGTTCAACCCCTACCGCTGGATAGACGCTTCGGGCTCAAACACTACAGAGGATGTATTACGAGACAGGTTTTACATTCCCTTTTCGAAAGGTGCAAATACTTGTATTGCAAACCAGTGAGTGATTTGGCCTCAAATGGGTGCATGATCACTGACAAGAGAACGCAGCTTTTCTTACCTGGAACTATACATGAGTGTCGCAAAGATGGTTGCAAACTTTGAAATCACCCCGCCGATGACTATCCCATACCCGCGCAGGTTACTGGACTGACTAATGCAGACTGGCAGCCGGTGCAACTTCCTAAGAGAAAGGAGTAGGTTTCAGCTGTAGTAACCGAACCTCTGCTGATCAAGACTATGCCGCGAAGACGCTTTTAGTTGAATTCGAGTGTGGTGTTGAGAATACTTGGGTTCCATTTCTCCGCTGCCGCCAATAGATAGGAAGGAAACAAATCCGTGACCTATATCCGTATCTGCCCTCCGTATCCGTACCGCAGATCCAAAAACGTACCTGTTCCTTGACCAATGTTTGCTCAGGGGTGCGCAACGCGTGTTGGTTGTGCTGCTTGTGGCAACCCTCCGGCTCCAACGACTTCTCTAAATCCCAGCTCGTCACATTGCATGCAGCATTGTACCTTATCAACCTCACAACCTGCAAGCATATTGTGGCTCCGGAGTCGATGAAAACTTTTGCCGCGGCCGGGGTTCCGGCAACCTAGTGTCTTGGCTTCGGACAGCGGTCTGCGGCCCGTTCCCGATAATATCTCGTTGGGTGGTTGAATCTCCGAACCTTACACATGCTTACGCACTCTTAGACTTAACCTGATTTCTATTCGAGCTTACAAAAAGTGGACTCGATGAAATCTCTTGAGTCTAGACTTTAGGAGATGAATATCTACACAAAGTAATAGTCTGGCCAACAATTGATCCACAAGTGAAATAGACTAGTAGCAATGCATCCGCGGTGGGTTATAGTCTCTTCGACTACCCACATTGATCATCTTACCCATGAACCGACATGTTTCACCAGAAGAGGACGCGTCTTCCTAAAATTTCCGAATCGTCTTCAGGGTTCGGTAGTATTACCTAGTATACTGCATGTATGCAAACGCCCGCATCCCGTGGAATGGAGTTTGGTATTGTTCGTTATGTGGTTGTGTAACACAGTGTCAGAGCCCTCCCGGATAGGGGCTAGTTAGAGGTAGTAAGGAGTCCAAGCAACAAAGGAGCAGCTCAGATATATATATAGCGCAGGGAGTACACGTCGAGGGAGGAGGAGATTTTAGTAATTCATCATTCTACCCCTAACTGCAGTTGGCCTCTGAGAGCTTCCACCCTGCGTCGGCACCCCAACTTGACACACAGCGTCTATTGAGTGTCTGCTGCGTGGTGTGATCGACTTGCCGGAACCAACATAATCATCCTATCATTGATTCCTTGGCCGATAATATGATGCAACCTCGTTCCGACTTCTTCCTCTTGTAATCACGCTCGAAACCTACGGCCATCGTGCCTTACTGATTTCAAAGTAGCATCGCTCGCCCAATAGCCCACTCAAGCAAATCCTGGTCCCAGCGTCTCATTATGGATCGAGAATCGCCGAATCTTAGGGATGTCCAGGTCTAGATACTCCAATACTTCAGGGTAAATTTACATGACTAGCAAAGACTCTTGAATGCCGACCGACGCCTGGACTCATATGATCACTAATCGTGAGCGTGATTTCAATGTAATTTGATGTCCGAATGAAATCTCGTGATAGCATGAAACCACAAGGGCCCCACAAAGAATTATACGGCGATGGGATGTGCCTAGTTCAGAAGCGACGTTTCAAGTCATCGCACGTTGTCATTCACACTTGAGACCCGTCTTGTAATTCATGAGATAAAAATTGATTCAATCGCTTCAGACTAAAATGTATCTATGCCGAGCTTAATCAGAACAGAGAGGGAATCCTAAACTAACACCACTAATGCCAATTTTCCAAACTTTTCTTTGCATATCAAAACAGACCCAAGATCAAACAACTCATTCCTTAATCAAAGTGGATGCGCCACATCTCTCTGGGAGAGCCAGCCGTGAAGTCGCTGCGAGTGTGCATGGCCAGGATGTTGTCGCTGACCAGCAGATCACCCTGCTGCCAAGAGAAGTAGAGGGTGTTTCTTCTGTCGTGGAGGAGCGAGTCAATGACGTTGCAGATCTCAGTGCTCTCGCTCTCGCTCACGCCCTCAATGACCACGTCAGTGGCGTCAAAGGCAGTCTTGGACTGGGGCCAAGGCTCGTGGTATCGGATGCAAGGCTCTCCGGTCGTGGGATGGTCGACGACGAGAGGGAGGCTTCCCATCTTGGTGGAGTCGAAGGAGCTGGTCTGGACGCTCCAGGTGAGCTCCTTGAGCTTGTCCACAGACAGGTGAGGAGGCAGGTTCTGGAAGAGGAGTCTGGAGGGCGTGAAGAGAGTGAAGCCCGTGTCACTCGGTGAGGGGGTGATGGAGGTGAAAAACTGGAACCTGTTTTCGGTGTGTTAGAAAAAGAAGCTCATGAAGTTTACGCTTGACAGGTTCGCCACAGCGGGGATGTAACTTACTTGGGAGGGTTGGGAAGAAGCTTCTCAGTTCCGTCCGCCTGGGGCACTTTGTGGGTCTTGAACAGCCCATCAAAGTGGAATGGCATCCACTCGGCTGACAGAACGTTGTTCAGACCACGGGTATCGGCACCCTGGTCCTTCACCTCCAGGACGAGACCAAACTTCCACGGCAGGGGAGTGCCGAACTCCTCTGACTTCTTGACGAACAGGTCGCGATCCTTGGTCTTTGTGAATCCCCTCATGACAACAGGGGAGTTGACCTCGGACAGAGCGCGGACCTTTTGCGCCTCGACGTCGTGGATGGAGAGCTTCTTGGAGCCGGGGGCCGGGCGGATGAGGAGACCGCAGGGGTACATGGGCTCGAAGACAACGTCAGACTTCCACTGCATCAGTTCGCTCTTCTCGCGGAAGTAGCTGGGTCTGCCGTCCTCGTAGACGAGTTCGTACTTGGTATCGTTCTCGAAGTCGGCGCGGGGGCCGGTCGTGATCGCGCCGCTCAGGTCGAAGGCAATCGAGCAGTGCCAGGGGGTCGTGTAGTAGGAAGAGGTGGAAAGAGGGCTGATGGAGATCTTGTTCTCGCCGGTGGAGGGGTGGATGGACAGGCGGATGTGGTCGCGGAAGTTCTCACGGACGGCGCGAGCGAAGGCCTATAATTGGAATGTCAGTACTTGAAAAGGACGGTTGAATCGTATTGCAACTTACATCACCACGCTGCAGCATCTGCTTGGAAATGTACTCGATGCCAGTCCTGAACTTGGTCTTGGATCGGTCCTCTCCAACGGGATAGACATGGCGCAAATCGGTCTCGAGGAACTTGATGTACCCGCGATATGTCAGGCAAGTATCCTCGTTCTTGGAGATCTCGGTGGAAGGGTCGTAGTCAGATCGACCAAAGGTGTTGAGAAGGGCGCGGCGGAAATTGGTGGCGTTCGCAACATATGTGATCTCCTCGAGCTTGTTGGGGAGGTTAGGAAGGTGAACGAGGTCCTGAAGGCGCGAGAAGTCGATGTTGAGCAGGTTCTTCTCGGCAGCAATGCCGCGGAGAGTCTCTCCATATGACCAGACCTCCTTGTCGGCAACGCCGAGGAGATCGTTGTACACAAGACCGTCAGAGATGATTGTCAACTTCGCGCCAGGCTCGTAGATGTCTTTGATTGCAGAGCAAAGACCGTTGAGGTTTGCGAGAGAGAACTCCTCGGCCTTATCCGGCAGACGGCTGAGGACCTTATCTTTTGTGTTGGGCGACTTGAAAGGGAAAGCGGGAAGGCACATGCGGATCGGGCTCTGTGTCTTGACTTTACTGTAGATCTGGGAGAGGAAGCCCAGTCTGCCCTCAAGCTGGGCAGGGCATGTTTCGTGTGGGCGTCTAAGGCGGTAGCGGCAGATGATGTCCAGAATGTCGGCAGCTTTTGAGAGGGCTTCGTAGTCCATCATCTGAGGTGCCACCTTTGAGATGAGCTGAACCTCTGGAGACGGTTGGCGAACCGGTGTCTCTACAAGAGAAGGCATGTCGTTGACTGTAGCTGAAGTAGAGGCTAGGGGGCTGAAAGAGTAAGGAAGGTAAGGGTAAGGGAAGCTTGAATAACAAGATAAACGACGATCAAAGTAAGTTTAAGGCTGGCAGATGCAGCTGGGTCTTAATGCAATTTGAGCCTGGTCTAGTAGAGGAGAACTTTCCAAAGTTTCGGGAGACGCAACCGGCTTATATCCAGCTTCCTTTCGCGGCATGGTCTGCCAACGTTGCATCTGCATACAGACTCGCTCGGAGATGACGATCACAGGGAAAGGGTCATGGCAAGGAGCAGCGGGCCAAGTCGTGGCACTGGCCGTGATGGGCTCGGAGCTGCGTCAGGTCACATCTGGCCATCCCCCATATCAAGGCCCATAACGGTCTTATTCCGGTGCTGTTCATCCACAATTCCCGTGGTTGTTCGATACTCAATGTCGCCACTAGGGGTCAATAGCAAAACGTCTAGAAGAATGGTAAGATGGTAAGGATTGCCCACGGAATCAAAATGCACCCGGCATCCCAGCCCTGTCAGTGGCTGTCATACCATGCATGGCCTTCTTTTCTTTTTTCTCACTCTTTACTCTTGATTGTTTTTCCTAATCTTCATCCGGCTTCCATCGTCGATCGAGTCAGAGCCGCCACCCCACCACCCAGGAACGGCCCCATCAAGATCAGGAAACTCATGCGCTCCATCGGGACATGGACCAAGTTTGAAGGGCTGACAGCTAACGACCCACGTCACGGTGGACACCTGCCTGGCATAGCCGGCCGAGGACTCAAAAGAGAAATCAAGTGTGTGGCCATGGCCAGTGCAATATCTAAGTTGCAGCCGCGCGGGAGTCGTCAAGGGAAGGTGGATAGATCCTGGTTTGGATCCTCAGAGAGGCGTACCAGTGTAGGGAGGGAACCACTTGAGCGAAAACAGACAAAGAATCGAGCCACCAACGTCAGGCTAGTCTCTTGACAGTCTGGTTCATCCCAGGTTAAGCCGCGGCAGATGGATTGGCTGAACCGTTGAACATAGTCGCAAAGCCCGACTAGTAGGGGGCCAGATTCCGCACCGGCAGGATCCTCCCGCGGTTGTGGGGACAGGGGAGCCCCGAGTAGAGCAAAAACGCGCCTTTCCCGATCGGCTTTCTGGACCGGGACACGATGTCCGGGGTGGCATGGCGAAAGATTGTGAGGACCACGGCGCTGATTCCTTCCTTGGGCAGGTCTAGCCAGATAGCCAGGATTGCAGCTGCATTACAACATTGGCATGTCGTGGCATGTCACCCTAAGATCTTCGGAA